ATATCACATCCTCTCTGTGATTTTGAGGAAAAAAAAAACCCATAATTTTCTATTATACACATTTTTGTACTTCTTCAAAGTGAGTCCTGCAGGGGTTAAACAAACCGATCTTTGGTTATTATTTTTTGTTCCTTTGGATGGTATAAAATATTAGATATGAACCGCAAACCCTCCTTTCTCAATGAATAATATCAAATATAATTCATGAAATCAGATATCCACGTCTGAATGTATTTTAATACATCTGGGGGTGGGGGGGGTGTCTAAAAAATGCCATCAGTTAGTCTGTGCTCAAGGAACGACCAATCACAGCTCAGCTTACGAACGCCACGTGACCAAAGTCAGAAAACAGGTGAGCCGTGATTGATCCTTACCCGAGGAACTGTGATGTCATCGTTAGTAAACAGCAAGTGGCAAAATGACCACCCCCTCAGATGGATTGAAACAGGTGGATTTTCCTTATTAAATTATTACACAAACCCAATACTAATCAGAATGCCATGTTTAGACAAGTGGATCCGCCGAGAACATATTGTAAAGAAAAATGTGCCCTTGACTTCCCCCTTAAGGGTGGCTCCTGGGGATTTTTTTGGTTGTTTTCAGTTTAAAGACTCACTCCGAAAAATGAATGAAAACATTCTGAATGAATACCAACCCATCATTCAATGCTCCATCACCCGCATGGGTAACAAGACAAGAACAAGTCCTAATGCAAATGAAATGAGGGTGAAAAGTTAAGGTGGGATGATGCTGATGGTGTTCCTGGCTCATAGGTGGACATCCAGTACCAAAGAATGTTGAAGCGGTTTCTTCCTCTGTCTGAGCTCAAAGAGTACCACCTGCAACATCGGACCAATGGGGGCCCTCTGAAGGACATCATGCTCTTCACCAGACCCAGGCTGTCCGTGCAGCCTCTAACCACTGGTAATTGATGAGATAATTTAAAATGTAGCATCAACGTCGTTGCACACACAGTTTTATTTATCATCCCTGCAGAGGAATTTGACTTTATTCTGAGCTTGGAGGACCAAGAACCGCTGTGACTGTGCTGGGCTGAAATCTGTCTCTTTAGTTTATGTAGTAGATCATCGTGATATGTGTTTGTTGTAAAATGTTTGTGGTGAAAAGACAAACAAAACTACAATGAGAAATAAGTGTGACTTTTTTTTCCCATTTGGCATCAGTTTATTTGACAATTTGGGCACAATGAATCAGTCATAAGCGCTTTGCAAAAAGATCTAAATAGCTCTAACTTCACTCTTCTCTGCTTTAAAAGACATAAAATCATGTTTAGAGGCAGGAAGACACTTGCATGTGTCTAACCAAACTAAACACTAGGATGTGGCAGGCAATTAATACTGCCGGAATGCTGACTTGAACCGCTCTTATTTACACATCCACACTCCTTGGACAACACCTGCGTGCATTTCACATTTCGGAGTTCTTCATAACTGGAATGTTGCTTGTTCAAAGTTCTAAATTAGTTGCCATTAAACCATTAAGTACACACTGAATGGCGTTAGCGTGAAAGTCCCAGGAATTATAATCGCTGATTTACTTTGATTTCCGTCAAGAAACAAAAAAACAACAAAGCAAGGAGGGATAAATCTAGTCCAGTCTCCCTTAATCCTCTTCCCTGGGAATGGCGGACATGGCCTCACGGAGACCCCCGGTCCAGTCGAAGGCGAGGCTCATATCCGTTGTCCTCCTTGGCACACTGCTCCAATGCACTCTCCGAGGCAGCCGAGCCCTCGTAGCGCTGGGAGGCGATGGCGGCCTGGTGGGACATGCTCTTCCTCACCACGTCGCCTTTCCGCCATAGTGTAATTTCCTGGGAATACAAGGGGAACTCACGGAGACCCCCGGTCCAGTCGAAGGCGAGGCTCATATCCGTTGTCCTCCTTGGCACACTGCTCCAATGCACTCTCCGAGGCAGCCGAGCCCTCGTAGCGCTGGGAGGCGATGGCGGCCTGGTGGGACATGCTCTTCCTCACCACGTCGCCTTTCCGCCATAGTGTAATTTCCTGGGAATACAAGGGGAACGTTGATACATACTGATGGTGGAGTGCAAGAGTTGTCAACCTGCGGCTCTTTAATTCTTCTGCTGGATTTTTAATTTGACAATTCATGCTCTTGTAACGTTAAAACTTTTTTTTTTTTTTCTGCTCAAACTAACGTGAGGTTGCCTTTGTACAAAACAGGCCTCTCCCGTAATAGATGCTTCCCCTCAGCTGTGAGATATAGCTGCCAATTTCAGTGCACGACTCAGTGATGATCTGGCGTCAGCATCTTCTCCGTAGGAGGACTGCACATGTGCTGTGTGATATATAAATAGATAAATAACGCGCTAAATTCTGTGACCCAGTTGCCTGGCCAGGCAAGCAAAGTGCTGATCTTAGCTCTTGATGATCACATGGCCAAAACATTCTCCTCATTTGTCAGATGGTGGGGGGCCCCAAAACAGAAACACCCGGCTTTAAGATAGATACAAGATAAATACATATGGCCACCTGCTGTTTAAAGTAGCGTCTCTCCTCCTCGTCGATCAGCACCAGATTTAGGTAGTAGCGCACCGAGAACTTCTTGTTGATGTCTCGCATCGTGGGAGTCAGGTCATAGCCAGCCAGGAAAAGCCGGATGGGGATGGACTCGCCTAAAAACGCACACAATTTGAATATCGCTCGCACTTAACTGATACAATAAAATCTGCAAATGTGAACAGCCCTTAATTTGAACAATCTGAGGTTCAATATGATGTGAAATGATACCTTAAAAGTCACGCAAAATTTGAGCAGTTTAACTTCACGCTGTATTAGGGCTATTTTAAAATTTGGCCCATTTGATTACGGTACTTTTTTAATATTTGTTTTTAAACACGGGAATACATTACACCATAATTCGGGTGTGCAAAACCGGTCCTTGAGGGGCACTATCCTGCATGTTTTAAATGTTTCCCTCCTCCAATACACCTGATTCAAACACCCTTGAGATAAGACAAAGACAACGAAATTCAAATATTCCTACACCCCCCCCCCAATTACAACATAATCTCTAC